TACAAATTGGCACTCCCACCAGCAGTGGAGGAGTGTTCTCCTTTCTCCACATCCTCTCCAGCATAAACTGTCATTGGTGTTTGTGATTTTAGCCATTCTGACAGGAATAAGATGGTATCTCAGAGTTGTTTTGATTTGCATTTTCCTGATGGCTAAGGATGTTGAACACTTTCTTAAGTGTCTTTCAGCCATTTTAGATTCCTCTATTGAGAATTCTCTATTTAGTTCTGTACCCACTATTTAATTGGATTGTTTGGTGTTTGGGGGACTAGCTTCTTGAGTTCTTTGTATATTTTGGAGATCAGCCCTCTGTCAGATGTGGGGTTGGTGAATATCTTTTCTCAGTCTGTGGGCTGCCCTTTGTCTTACTGAGCCCCTGCGCCATCTTATCAGTCCCTGATATTGCTAATTGGTTCTCCCTTCTTCTCTCTCTCTGTCTCACTCTTGTCACAGTCTTATTTCAACTTTGATTATTTTATTCATTTTTTGAAAAATAATGTAAAACCTTCATTCAATTTTTTCTTTCACAGTTTCATACATATTTGTAATGCATTGTGGTTTCTCCCATCCTCACCTTCTCTTATGTTTTCAAAGAACTAAATCCTTTTCCATTGAGTTCAGTCATCCCAGCCATCAGGAAATCTCTAATGCATCCACTTCTTTCGTATATGATTCTCCTCCGTTCTACACTGCATAGTTAGCATTGTGTTTCAATTGCATTATGCATTCCTTCAGCCTTTCCTGCCCTTGGCTGTGTCTTAGCAGGCACTCCATTGGTGGAATGCATTTATCTTGGCCTTGCTTCTGGTTGGTGACCACATCTTGCTGGTATCTTCCATCCATGCACTAACCAGACTTGACCTTGCTTAGTTTCTGAGATCAAAGGAGATGGGGCATGTTCCACGTGTTGTGTCTGTAGACCTTGCTTTTACACTTAAAAATGCTCTTCATTTCTTTATTTTTCTTGTTGTATAACTCAGTTGACCTTCAACCCCCAAAGTACCCTTAGCTAGTCTAAAAATTATGGTAATCCTCCTGCCTTGGCCGCTTTAAAAGTGGGATTATAAGTGGGACCCCCCACAATAGGCTAGAAAATGTTATTTTTATCAAGATCAATTTAAATAATAATTGAACAAAAACTTGATTTCTAATTAAAATCTTTACTGAAGTCCTGCATCAGCTTCTGCCCAGTGCTATTCACCCAGCCCTTTAGTAGTTTTGTCGCTGGGAATCCTATTGATTGAGAGCAGAGCCTCCTTATCAAGTCATGCCTCAGCTTTGATCTTGGGTCTGTCATTTCCTAGTTGCATGACCTTAGGCAAAGGACGTACATCCCTGGTTTTGTGTCCTTTCTCCTCTGTAAGATAAGATGATCTCCATTTATCAGGGTGTTGTAAAGATAAATAAAATGTCTTCAATGCTACTTAGTCCCAAATAAATATTAGGAACCTTTTAATACAATAAGAGTTAAAATCAATATTATATGTGAAATATTTATGAAACCATATTGTAATAGAAATACAAGACTATAGAAAAAGATATGTGTGTATATGTGTGTTCACAATACACATATATAAAAGACTTAAAGGGCATGATTGTTACTGAGAATGATGATTAACTTTGGGTAATGGAAGATCACTGTGATGTATTATGTTTCTGCATTTTTAATTCTTAGGGTTGTCTTGTAAAAGATTTATAACTTGAAACTATTATTTAAAAAGGATATCAATGTGTGATGCAATACTCTTACTTGGTCATTTGTTTTCCACCATGCTTCAGAAAGGGTTTAAAACAGTGCATGGTATAGGAAGATAATGAAATACAAAGCAAAGTGAAGAAAAGGAGACTGTGCAGGCTGGAAAGATACTATGCAGTGTTACAGCTAAACATTTATAGCCAGGGGTGGCGGTGCACCCCTGTAATCCTGGCACTCGGGAGGCTGAAGCAGTAGGATCAGTAGTTCAAGGCTAGCTTAGGTTACATGGTAAAATCCTATCTGTAAATAGAAATATGAGTGTTTTGTGTTTTATTTTAAATAGAAGATTGTCCTAGGATGCCCAATGGTTGTGAGTTATTGAGTAAGGTGAAGTCTGTAAAAGAAAGGCAGCATTTTTCTAATACAATGCAACAACACTAAAATGATAAAGACAACAAAGGAGCATTTTACAGGAGTTTTCAGCGAGTTGGAGATTCTATTTATTTTATTGTTGGCACAGTAAGCAACCCCAAGAAAGGCACGGTTGGTGTTATGTTCTTTTCTGTTTGTGTAATAATTTACCAGTTACAAATACACCTTGGATTGCTTTGGTTTCACTTACTTGTTTTGAATACATTGAATGAAGATCCTGACTTCCATAAATAAACCCAAACTGAGAGTGATACTCCTCTCCAGCTCTGCCATTGGTTAGCTATGTGTTAACTCTTTGGACTGTTCCTCCCTTGGAACTTTGAGAAATCTGAACAAGAAGATTGGACTTTGACCTTCTGCAGTTCAGTGATAAGTCCCACCTACTTAAGGGAGGAACATTCTTTTCACTTGAAATCTTTATTCGATGTCAGTTGTCCTGCGCTATCCAATGTCCACCATGGAGTTGTATGGTATTAACATTATCTAAATGTCTTTTTCACAGAGAGACCTCTGTCCCCTAAAGCTGTCAAAGGATTTGACACTGCTCCACTTACCAAGAATTACTACACTGTGGTGATTGTTCAGAGGGCAAAATTGTTTTAACTCAACGTGGAGATGTTTCACTCATCGAACCGCTGGTAATTTTGAGGTGACACAGAAGATGGGACAAAGTTGCTTTGTAAGGTTCCAAGGCCGTTTGCATGACATTGGTGCTTATATACTTGCGAGAGTCTTACAGATACCTGGAGGGTTCACACCCACTGTACTGACAAACCAAAGAGCTGAGTAATACTTAGGCCTACTAGCATGCTGGCAGGGAAGATGGCTAACAGGGGGGCACTGTGACATAGCCTAGCTGTGTATTTGAAAAGTCCCCAGGTTTCTAAGATAAAATGAGTTTTAAGTGATTGTGTTATGTTATTTTACTTGAGAGTCAATCAACCCATAACACCCACTGAAATATTATCAACTCTATTTTTGACGAAAGCCTGAAAGAAACACTGCCTTTTGATACAGAAGGGCGAAAGGAATGTCTCTGACTTGAACACAGCTATGTCAAAGTATATTAGCTAT